ATTGTGGAATACAAAATCAGCGAGGTGAGTGCTAAGTGCGACAAGAAACCCAAGACTGGCCGGGTATCGACCAGCTGGGGTTACGAATTGGCTGAGTGACAGTCGTGCAATGTACGGACAGAGATTTCGTGACATGGCCAACAATGCGGGAGATTGTGCTATACAATGGTGTTGCGATATAGTGTTCTAATTTTTTGAAATATGTTCTTGTTTGGGGACTGAAACAAGCCTCACTTTATACAAAAAGTCGCCAGTTCCCTTCTTGTGCCCCGGGCCTTTAATCGCCCTCTTTACAATCAACTCTCGCCACGAAGCACTCTAGTCGAGGCTCCCAAAACTCCAGTCCGCAGCTCTTGTCGCTACAGGGATATGCTTTGCCATGTCTCCGCCACTTGTCTCTTCCGGCTGATCTATTCTCCCCCAGAGTCCAGATCCAATACATGCCTCCCAGGTTGTATACAGTTGAATCTATTCACAGTCGATTACACCATCCTTCTCCGCCCTTCGTGCTACGCTACACGTTCTGTCCACGCTTTTATTCGCCCACGCTTATTGAGGGGCTGTGGAGAGCTGCAGGAGGCGTTCTCCGGCTCGGATGTTGGCATACTCGTATGCCTTGGACTCGGGAGGGAAGGTTCCGTTAGCAGCCCAGAGGTCAATCAGAGGCTGCATGGGCTCCAGCTCAGCAGGCTTGAGCATATCCAGGGCGGTAGCAGTCAGGACAAAATGAGAAAAGCAACTGTTGAGCTGCTTCTCGAGGTTGAGATGGTAGAAGGGCTCCGAGAAGTGAGCCCAGTAAAGGTGAGCGTAGACTCGGAACATTTGTCGGAAAATCATCTGGCAGATGTCCACAAACTTGTCGGGGAAACCTGATCGCTTGCCAATATACTCGGGCTCACTGGGGCTCGAGAGCTGTGACAAGGGTGTAGTGGTGATGGAAGGGTTGTGGGCGTACGAAACACCAGAGGGGTCAGTTGGGAAGATGTTGGTGTCGTCAATCTTTCCAGAGATCCATCGCTGCATGAGAGTCATATACTCGTGAGCAGGAAGCTCAACAGGCTCCCTGTTTCGGTTGAGCCAGGTGAAAGAGTGGTTGCTGGTGAGAGTAAGTATATGCATGGGTCATAAAGAAAGATAACTACTCACGCTCCAGCTGACATGCGTGGGCAGCTGGTTGAGTTGCAGACGGATGTGCCATCATCTTCCTTCTCATGCAGGACACGGACAAAGTTCCAGAGATTACGGTAGTGCTCGACAACCTGATGAGCGATCCACTCGCCTTGTTCGACGGTTTTAGGTCGTGCGCTCAATGTCATAAAGTTACCCTTGACAATGTGTTTGGCGTACTGGGCGTTGAGCCACAGAGGAAGAGGTCGAGGAAGGTGATAGGATGAGATAAGATCGTCACCGCCCATGGCGCCGCTAGATTCGTCCATGCCAATAGTCTGAGAGAACGAAGGGGAGCTGGGCAGAGGAGGGACCTTGGGAGCCAGGCTAGCTGCAGACTGGTTCCCTTGGGTTGGCAGCTCTGGAGGAGGAGGCTGACTGGCGGTAGAACCAGTTGGGCTCTTCTGAGGACCACTGCTAGCCTTACCGGAACCGCCTCGGAAACGAGCGTTGCTGATGATTGTCAGTGACTGGGGAATGAAATAATGCAGACAGGATGAGAAGCAGAGTGAAGACAAAGATATAAAGATGAAGATGAAGGTGAGGGTAAAGATGATGAAGGAACAAGAAAGAGGTCAGAAACAGCTAATGTGACAGCACACTATGCTTAGATAGGCGAAATTGGTTGAAACATTACCAGGTCCCGCTCATGATGGCTGCAGAAAAGCGCCATGCGTGGCGCCCTGACAAGGGAGACATGTAAACGATGGAAAAGGTAGGGATGAGGGTATATGAAGGAGAGGTTGCTCATGTTATTAGACCCCGTTCTTTGAGGACGTGATCATGCGAAGCCTTCCCCTGCAAGTAGTTCGTGACGACACTTGCAGGACTTGGGATGAACCTGCCAGCTCATGAAGATCTTAGGAAGACATGTCTCGAATGCTGTACTAGGGGACCACATGGTGAGAGTTTGGCTGCGGGTGCTTGGATATCCTTCGGTAGTTGGCCTACGACAGAGTGCGCAAGGCATGGATCTAGGTCTTGAGTGTATCCAGGGTAATGTGTCTGCAATGTTGCACTGATACAATAGGAGGTAAAGAGAAGCATCGTGGCTGGTGAAGAGCTCTGTACCTCTTCAAAGATGCCCGAGATGATAACAGCAACGGGAGACGAACCACACAAAGCTATTGATAGCAATGTAGATCCAAGACGGGACAAGCGCAAGCGAGATGAGGCAAAAGAGTAACGAGATATAAGAAATAAAAGATACTACTCACATGCCAGAGAAAAGGTTCGACATGGTTGACAGAAAGGCGGGGTGAAATCGTGGATGAGAGGACGAAAAAGAAGGATTTCCTCTTGTGGGTTATGGTTTCCCAAGGTTGAGGTTGAACGAGTGAGTGTCTTTGTCTTGTTCCTATTGATCGGATAATCGAGTCTAGTCGAGTCGAGCCCTGTTGTTAAGGATCAGGTCAATATCAAATCCTCAATTCAATACCAGCAACAGGCGAGGCGTGATTGAGAAAGGGGGTTTTTGAGGTGTCGGTGTCGGGGCTCGATGAATGAATGGATCCCTCGATAGGATTAGAGGGTAGTCTAGCGGCTAAGTACCCCGTAACTCCCATGGTGTAGCAGATGGAGCGCCACACGCTAGCGCATCTTCCTCCCGGAGGAGAGTGAAACCTCCACTCCCTGTTGCTTTCACTGCTCTGCTACTGGTTCTATATGTCACCTGAAGCGCGCCATGCCTGTTTCAGAGACCTCCTGTAAATGCATCTTTGCCACCTTTTGACATTGACATTCTCCTGAGGCTGCACTTCGCTGGAACTTCTCCACTAACCTGCAACAGAGACGAGTTGACAGTGGCGACGAGACGACTATCTGTGGCTGCTCTATTCAGTGTGGCTGGCGACTCCCCAACCTCAGGCCCCAGAAACGGCTAGACTGACTAGTCGGGTCAAAGACTGTAGTCGCGACTTGAGCTGAACTGCAAGCTATTACTTTGTGCGCGCAAACACAATTACTTTTTTCATCATTCTTCTTTTCCCATTCCTCTACCCACTCAATCTATCAGTTGCAAAAACACACAAACTACATCATGTCTGACTCAGACGGCCTAATTGAGCCTATTGACGATGGAGGCGATGACCTTTTCGGCGACGAGGGCGACGACGATATTGTACCTACCAAGGAGTCGGTCGATGAAGATGACGAGCTCGCCTCGGACCCAGAAGGAGACAGCTACGCGCGGTACCGCAACGACGATGAAGACCAAGCACAATTAGAGACTAAGGAGCGTGCTGTCCAAACTGTCACGACATACCGGCATCGAGTTCCCAAGCCCAAAGACGGCGCGGTATGTGAAATTCTGCTTCGCACAACACAGCAGGCGGCTTGCTAACTTTGATTCCTCAGTTGCGAGTTCTTCGCGTTCCCAAGTTCATCAAAATAATGCCTGAAGAGTACAACCCTGATACATACCAGCCAAGCGAATTCGATATTGCCAACGCCAAGGCTGAACATCCCAAGCACGTCGCCCGAGTCCGAAGAGATCACAGCACCGGCGAGCTGAAAAGCAACACAAACGTCTTCCACTGGAGCGATGGATCAGTGACTATCTCTGTCGGGGGAGAGCACTACGAAATTAACAGAAAGGCGCTCGCACCACCACCAGACAAGCCTTATAACGAGGTCCAGGATGGCCACTACTACGCTGCTGCCGCCGAACTGCACAGCAACATTCTTATGACGGTTGGGCATATCACAGAACAATACAACGTTCGACCTAACAAGGCCGTTGGAGACGATGCGCTGTCCCGTCTTGCTGAGAGAATGGCAGTCGCCAGCAAGCCAGCGAACTCAACAGATATGATTATCAGGACTACCCGCGACCCCGAACTCCAGAAGAAGCAGGCCGAGTTGGCCGAGAAGGAGAGAAACAAGGCTCAGAGAAAGCGCGAAAACGCCGAGGCTAAGATGGTTGGTGGTATAGGTAGATCATCTGGGCGCGGAGGAGGATTGTCTATTGGTGATCTTGAGGGAGGCCGTCGGGGTGCAGCAGGCTCTCGCAAGCGTGGCGCGCCTAGCGCAGCCAAGAACAGGAGACGTCGGGAAGAGGAGTCCGATGAGGATCTCGAGGACGCCGTGGGCCGACACGAAGGTTACTCACTCGACGATGGCTTCATCGTTAACAGTGACGATGAGGAAGCCGACAGCGCAGCTGATGATGACGACGAGGAAGAGCTTCTCGACGATGATGAGGATGAGAAGCCTCGTTCCAAAAAGCGACAGAGGACAAGGGACCCCAGCGACGACGATGGCAGTGACGTCGAACAGGCGGCAGGAAGATCTCGCCGGAGGAATGTCATTGACGATGACGATGATTAGACTGGAGGTTCTTCATGGAGTTTTGGTAAACGCAACAAGAGATTGGTTGCAGAACAAGCAAACAAAGGCATTGCTGTATAATATGATATTCCTTTAAATTATTGGTGCAACTTTTGAAACTACCACCAGTATGGTAGTCTAGCATAGTAGCTTTTATTGAACTTGGACTTTTGAAGATCGGCAGAGAGCGAAGCTATAACTCACTTGAACCACAATATGTAATTGGTCTCCTGCACTCTGCAACTAGATGATCGAATATAGTGACCTGCGTTATCAATTTATCAGCTTGAAGCCCGTACTAACCTCCCTTACATATACGCTTGTGAGTGTGGCTGTCTGAGACTCTTGGTGATCTCATTGGCAATCACATGCCGATTTAGCGTAGGTGAACAAGGTACCGTACTTTCGTTGAACGAGCTGCGGGGAGCTCCACGGAACCCATCAACACCAACCTGCCTTACATATTTATCCTACCTGTAATCAATTTTTTTATCACTCCTAAACGCCTATAAGACTTCTTTCTCCGGTCCTGAGTGTCGTATATACATAGCCAATGTTGCTCGTCTAGTACAAAGTACATTCGACCACGCGTAATCTCGTCCTCGCGTTCACAACCACAGACCTGATCCAATCTCTTGCAAATGGTGCTTGTGCTTGTGATCGGCCCTCGGTAACGCGATAATGGGGGTGGTAGTCACCGTATGGGGTGTCGTCGTGGACGTGACCAGCTTCTGGCAGAGGGTAATTAACCATCTCTCCTTTCCAAGCATGACACGCGCTCCGAGGTTCATCGTTTCTAACTAATCATGTCTTTGCAGAAGCTTCGAACCTGGTATACGCGTAAAAGCCCTGTTGAACTATGGCTGGACCTATTGAGGACAGCAGAGGTCTTTGAAGACTGGGAAGAAGCCGCGCTGCATCTTGATAACCTCCTCGGTCTTGACTTATGGCGCGTGTAGCTCTCATCATCGGGGGAACTCTCACTAACACGGCTATAGGAGGAATAACCCAGCTTCTAAATATTATGACTGGAGACTCATTGCCGAACGTCTGGACTCCCTTGCGACAGCTCGAGAAGATGCCAACTTTCAGCAGCTCGTCAATCTATTAAGATCTGGTCTGGTCCGAAACCTAGGAAACATCACCTCACCCAAACTCTACAACCGATCCTTTGCTGGCACCAAGTATCTTATAGAAGAGTACATTACCCAGATTGCTGAAGCAGTGGAAGATATTCGTGCCCTTCCTACGACGCCATCCGCTGTCCATGACCATGGGCCATCTCTGACGACACAGATAAAGCTAGATTGTATACATGATACGAGACAGGCTTTCGGGAGAAGCACCCTCGTTCTTCAAGGCGGTGCCATATTTGGCATGTGTCATTTGGGCGTTGTGAAGGCTCTCTTCTTACGCGGTTTACTTCCTCGCATCATCACCGGTACAGCCACGGGCGCCTTGATAGCAGCTTTGGTCGCAATCCACACAGAAGAAGAGCTCCCAGCTGTCTTGAGTGGCGACGGTATTGATCTCTCAGCCTTTGCGCCAAAGGTTGGAACTGAGAATGGTGAACTATCGACATTTCGAGCTTTCCAGTCACGGTGGGCAACCTTACTACGGAGAATTAGACGCTTTTCCAAGGAAGGCTACTTCCTTGATGTGACTGTGTTGGAGGAGTGTGTGAGAGCCAACGTCGGCGATCTCACATTCGAGGAAGCCTATAATCGAAGCAAGAGGGTGTTAAACATTACGGTTGCAACAGAGGGTCAAGGAGGTGTGCCGACGCTACTCAACTATCTCACCGCACCTAATGTGGTATGTTTTATGTCTGTCTCTATTGCTGATGAACCATGCTGATTCGTGCTAGTTGATTTGGACAGCTGCTGTGGCGTCGAATGCCTCATCGCCTTCGCTCTATGGCCACCGCAAGACAACCATGCTCTGCAAAGACGCTCATGGTAACATCGTACCTTGGGCACCGGCCAATACTATCGACTTTCGACACTGGACGCACACATCATACTCGGATCGAGACTCACCTCTAAGGCGTATCGCTGAACTTTTCAACGTCAACCACTTTATCGTCAGCCAAGCCCGGCCATACCTTATCCCCTTTATCCAGTCCGATATGCATGGGCCGTCCCTGGTAGAGTCACGGAGCAAAACCACACAAGTCTCTGCTTTTCTGGTCCGCATGGTCGGATTGGAGATAAGACACCGCCTCAGCCAACTAGACACGCTCAACCTCCTACCAACAGGTATCCGTCGCTTTTTAGTCGATGAGCAAGTCCCAGCAGCATCCATGGTTCTTGTGCCGGAAGTGACAGCTGGAGACTTTGTGCGATTGTTGGAAACTCCGACTCGGGAAACCCTCAACTACTGGGTTCTCAGGGGCGAACGAAGCGTGTGGCCTGCCGTGGCTGCCCTTCGAATTAGGTGTGCCGTCGAGAACGAGCTCGACAGGTCTTACCAAGTGGTGAGAAAGTTCAAGGCTCCTGGGCTGAGACGTAAGGGGAGCATGGCAGCCAGTATGGAGGCTGAAGGGAGGGAGCGTAATGGTCGGGTTGGCACTGATGCTAATGCAAGTTGAATACTGTTTACATTAAAGGCGCAGGGGGCACGGAAGCATCGATAAGCATTAGCCCTTCATTCGTTCTATTCTGTTTTGTTTTTCTTACTCTATTACATTCCTTATTGCGTGCACACGGCTCAAGAGTACATACCCATGCAGCTACCTAGTGGGTAGCAGAAAACACTGACCTCCTAAGCTTTAGGATATAAAAATAAACAGCCTAAGAAGTCCCATCTAAGTAACATAAACTGACCTTAATTTCGTCTCTTATGCTCTTAGACCAATTCTCCTGATGCCTTTAGGAAAGTCTCGTGACCGTCGGGACTTCTGCATCGCCCTCGAGTGCAAGAAAGAACTCGTGTTCAAATTACATAAAACCAATTTTCTTGCCACCTAATAGCCCTTACTCCCTTTTCCCAAAAATAGACCTCCATCTATCAAGCTGGGCGCCAAAGGAAAGTGAGGCGATTAGCTTCTGACAGGTTATCGTGGGTTCTTGTCTAATGCTAAACGGGTTAGAGGTTCTGCCATGCGATGATGACACCACTTGTTAAACACAACGACATCTAGACTCATACAGTCAGTGTAAGTGCAAGTACAGTTCATAGTGTATATATAGCACTTTCACGATAAGGCTGATTCTCCGCGTATTGATTATATAGGGCTGTCGGGTTGAGACTGTCTCATCGTACTCCAGGCAATGGGGGACGTCAGCGCATCAACCCATCGTGGCTTTTTGAGTGTGGTTGGCGAATTGAGGGAGCTTGCGTGCAAGCTAGATCTGATGCGATGACGGTTCATTTGCGAATTCAAAAGGTCTGGCCTCACCCACCTCCTCGGATCCGTCTCTCTTCACTGCAGTCCAGTATCAGAGGGGTTCCTGTCCAACACCTCAGCTTGACCAAATTATCACAGCTTATCGTCGTTACTGTATCACATACTGCTTCCACACAGTGTTTGTACGCAGAGCAACATTGCACTGCATTCTCCTTACGTATATCAACGACAAATCGTGGTGGGAGCCTGACTCATTGTTCCTAAACTGAAACAACCACTGACTTCGTTACGACATGGACGTCTTCGATAATCACGAAGACAGTTCTGAATCCTCGATCTCCCTTGCCTCGTCTGTCTTTACACATGACCCTGACTTTTCGCCTTATGGCTCGTATGTTGTCGAATCTGACGTCCCCGATGATATGGATGTGGACATGGATGATGACGTCCAACATCAGCAGCACTATGGTCCTCCCACGTATGAGTCCTTGATACTCGAGAATACTACCGTCCGTTCTGATGCCTGCACAGCAGCAACAATCGGGTCGTCGTCGGTCGTCTCCGCCTCCGAGACAAGATGTCCCACTCCGGGATCCGTCTCGGCCTCAGCTCCGGCAGCCGATCTTCAAGTCCAGGAACCCCGGCCTTCAGACTCGTCGATGACCAGTCCCGATCCCGTCTCGCACGTGGTCGGCCGTGCTTCTGATATCCCCACCAGCGTTGATTCCATGTTCAACTACGGATACGCCTTTGTCGTCCAAGATGATCAAGGACTATGCGGCATCGGAGCGTGGGTTGACATTGCGACGAGTCCATTTGTTGCCAAGAAGAAGCGGATTACTCCGCGACAGTAGTAATCTTGTGTTCCCAGACTTTTGTTTTATCTTTCTATCCTCCCTTGCTTTTGTCGCTGGAGTCTGACTATACTGAGACAAACAGGATCAAGGAATGTCATTGGTTTCCACTTCTTCATATCGTCTTGTCTTCTGCCGTTTGACGGGTGGTCGCGCGTTTCATCTACAGTATTTTTTTCGTTTTCTCTCCCCCTCTCTTTTTTTGCTTTCTTTCATCTGGTCTTATGCAGGAGGATGAACGCTTGGGCGGGAGAAATGTTTCTTTCTTCCCCACTCGTGTTTTTGTTTTTGTTTTTGTTATATGTAACTTTATCTTTGTCTTAGGAAAAAGTAAAAGCAAAACGGGGCGTTATTGGGATAGTCGTTCGTTTCAAAACATCGAGAGGTCAAAGACATGGCAAAGACAGTGGCAGACGCCGCCACAACCACACAAAGAAACAGGAATGTTTGCTGATGCAAGGGGCCTTGTATCAGATCACTTACTTGCTTGCTTTGTTTTGATACTGTGTACAGATCAGATGAGATCGGTCATACCGGAAGACAAGGAGACGAGAGAATGCAGAACTTGTACATTATTGATTCTTCTTTTCCCCATGCGAGTCGATGCCCATGAAATGTAATACAAGCCCGTTAATAAAACGGGCAAGGAAGTGATCAGCATTGACAATCGAAACCTGTTTGCTCTCATATGCAGGGTTCAGAGTCGTAGTAGCAATTAATTAAACCTCGAGACGCTGCATGCGTCGTGGGTTTGGGCGGATCCTGTGTCTCAAGTACACGCGTCTGGTGTGAATCGCTCAAGACTCTGAAGCGATAATTTAATTACCGGCGTGCGACACCCAAGTTTCGGCCAAATACCTCGAGGTCTTGTGTTGTGTGTACTAATGTACATATCTGACAGCAAAGGTGGTGATGGACCAACTGTTCGCTTACTGGGGTACCCAGAGAACTGTAATGAAGATCGCATAAAAGATCATGTGGAATATCCCGAAGAGGGAGGTATCATATAAGGAAATCTCGGTGTTTAACGGAGCAGGCGAGATCCGGAACCATAAAATGCGGCAATTCTTTTTTCTATAATGCCGAATGTAGAAATGTCCACTGATATCAAACACTTGTTATAGCAGGGAATAATCCCTACCCAGGCACGCAAGGCTTGAAGAATTGCAGGATTACCCGCCCGGCTAAGGGGTCAGTTTGCAGTAGTTGGAGCCATTGAAATGATGATTCTGAAACAGCAATTGGACCGTAGATGCATGGGTTGGCAGGGCAGATCAGTCCGGGAACCTGCATAAGTGAGTGGAGAGCAAAAGCAAAAGCAAATTGAACTCCAAGTCAGATTTATTAACTGACAAAGAGACAAAGGATAACTAATAAACCTGCTTCTTCTCCACAGTAAAAAAAAATCAACCCATGACATCAGACGCTTGGATTCAAGGGGTGAGAAGCTTCTACAATGGAGACAAACTCAAATCCCATCAATGAGAATAAGTCTTCAACGCCTATCCCGCATGTCAATATCAACTACAATTTGGAAATGAAAGCCGCACACGTAATTCAACATTGATACACCACAGCATAGGAAAACAATAGTAAAAAAGCAGACCAACTTTGAGTCTAATTGATTTCTAAATACCTGGCTCTGGCTCTCGTTCCTCCCTGATAAGCCAACGCGGGCTTCATCATAGGATACAGCCGGCCGTGACGCCTCGTGGGGTAACCGGAAACGAATAAACAAAGGCCATCATTAAAGTAGAATTATACACCGAAAACTTGAATCTCATCAAACCGCTCTTCTCATCCCGCGTATTCGTGCAGAAAAATCATGTCCATAACTTAGTTGAGGTAAACCATGGCCATGGCGGCACCAGCAATGAGAGCCAGGGAAGAGGTCATGCGGGTAGCACCGCTGACGGGAACCTCAGGAACACCAGTCTCACCAGCACCGCCGGTCTTGGTGGGGGTAGCAATGGGAGTGGTGGCGTTCTTGGGGGGAACGGGGACGTGAGTGGGAATGATGGGCTTAGCAGTGGTGGTCTCATCGACAGGCTTGGTGACGAGAGTGGTAGCCTTCTCGGTGGTCTCAGCAGCGGCGGTGGTCTCCGCAGCGGTCTTAGTAGCAGAGGTGACGGAGGGAGCGTCGTAAGAACCCTCGTAGGAGAACTGCTCGCTGTAGTTGGCCTCACCAGCAGAGTCGGTGATCTTGAAGTTGTAGGTGTCCGAGGGGAGCTGAGAAGGAGTAAAGGTGAAAGAGTCACCCTCAGCGGAGCCTGTGGCATGTTAGTATAAAATTCGAGCACAAGTCAAGATTAGTTTGAGACATACTGGTCAAGGTCTTGTAGTCCTTGAGGTCGGTGGACTCTCCGTTCTGGAGAATGATAGTGCAGCCAGAATCACAACCGGTGAAGGTGATGGTGTAAGGCTTGCCCTCAGTGAGGTCGAACTTGGTGTTGGTGAAAGCGGGCTGGGCCAGGGCCATGGTGGCGAAGGCAGCGACGGTAGCGATAGTGTACTTCATTTTGAAGGTTGGAAGGTTGTTTGTGATTGAAAGAATGACTGAGTATTACTATCCAGTCAAGTTAGTGGATGCTTTGCTTTGCAATGTTTCGATAAAGCGTGAATAGTAGCGAATCTATGAGCAATAGTGCGTGTTGGATGATGTTGTATGCGAGGGGTCTGAAGAGCGCAAGTTGTTGTAATATAAACAATTCACGGACCAGGGCCAGGCAGGCGTTTCCAAGTGAATCACTGGCACCTGCTTAGACTGTCGGTTGACTGCCAGTGTCGGCAGGTGCCAATGGTCCATGTTGGTGATATCAACGGATACTGCCCGTGCCTGCCAGTGCCAACGCCCACGTCATATTCCAACTCCATTGAGGGAAACCGTGTGTGATTGTATGCGGATGCGGATGGTGCCTTGCAAGGGAAAGACCGAGGGTAGTATTCAACTTACATTAAGGTAGGTAAGAGGCACAACGAGGTAGCGATTGACTAGAGGTAGACTGCGTTGATGGAGAAGAAGGGAAAAAGAAGGAGAATGAACAGACGGAGGGAGGCTTATTATAATGAAGGGAACTGAGAGCTAGTGACAATCGAATGGCAATAATAACAATAAAGGGGATAGGATGCTCTGAGAATCAAACGCTACGCTACTCTACTCTACGGATACCAACCTAATCAATCCCACGAGACCTTGGATCCTAGGTATCTAGACCAGGTCAATGGATGTGGAGGCTAATGGGATGAAGGGGGTGTGTGGTGAAAGGCCAAGAAAGAGGTGTGGGAGGCACGGGCGAGGCGTAGCATCCCTAATCCATTATCCCCTACGGAAGGAAACTGGAGGTACCTACCTGCTTTGCCCTGTGCTGTGTGTTGAGCGATGTGCTCTTTCTCCTTTCCTTTGGTTCCTTCCTTCCTTTCCCCCTTCGCTTCAGATTCTTTGCACTTGACCATGGTCCCTGTGCTCTTTCACCCACAAGTGGAACTCTCTACCAATGACATTGCTTAGCTTCAGTGATCCCATCTCCCTCTCCCCTAAACCCATGCCTTAATTGCTTGGCCCATTTCGCTACATCATCACATTCCATCCACTGGCAGGCCAGCCACGGCGTTGCGATGCCCAAACCAGAACGGATCCTTGCTGAGGAAATTAGCCATGCAGGCCTAGCGTTCAAGAGCGTGCCAGCGCTATGCCCTTTGTGGCGCACTCATCACTTCGCAGTTCAATGCTCGCTCGCTCCAAGGATCTTCCAGCTCCACCTGCAGGACCAACTAACAACCTCTTGGAGTGCTGTACCTGACAGCCAAAGCGGGCACGCGCCCATTAACCATCACTAGTGATATGCGGCCTCGATCCATCACAATTTGACTGCCTTGCCTCTGATTACCTCTCAGTCTCTGCCTGGGCACATACCTACAATTCCTCGCTATCAGCGGATGGATACCTTCTGACGTTAGTATTGCACATCACCGAACAGGGAGGTTCTTCCGCTTGGTCATGAGTCGAGCGTTGATCCATGCGTATCTTTCTTCTGTTTCTCAATTCCACCGCATCCCCGTGCTGGTCAAGGGTTTGTCAGCCTTGCCTTAGTCCGGCAAGTGGTCACAGCGCGCTTCTCCGGTGCGCACCGGAGGTGGTGCACCTATTCTCTGGGGCGAGGTCAGGCCAGCTACCCTACCTTTTTCTCAGGTATCCAAAAACCAGGGTGTCAAGAGGCTCATCGATAAAATTACATGGTCATTTTCCTGGAGCTGAAGGCGAGTCAATGTCTCAGTATTTTTTGTATCTTGGGCAATTAGTCGATTTTTCTGACACCCCTTCGCCTACCCTACTGTGCCCAGCAAGAAGCGATAGCCGCCATGATTTTAGGTTGGCATCCTAGACAAGCTGTCGTAAGCCTCCCCGATGCAATGCGATCCAGCAAAATAGCCGTGTCTTTGTTCTGTTATGTATTGCCTTTACAAGCTGAGCCGTGTTTCGTCACAAGAGTTTATCTTACACAGCAGCCCAAAAAAAGGTTACTTTAACGAGACATAACAGAGGTTATCATTCCCTATCATCATGTCGGCACATGCAAGCAATGCTCTCAATCCTTACAGTCATCCTATAAAGCATGCAACACTATGATAGGAGGGTCGATAACAGCGGATATCAAGACCCCTGTGGGCTGTGGCCAACGGTTCTTAACATCCGGGAAATTTCAGCATGTCGGCTGCTGCCATTATCGATCCTCTCTCGTCCACAGCGGTCTGGATGCTTGCCGCTATTGGGAACCTGGCCTCCCTCCTTGGCCGAGTCACCTTTCCTTATCGGGCACCACTTTAATGACATTGCCCCCTTGGCTTGTCAATAGTTCCAATAGCCTGCTTCAATCGTTGTCTTTTCCTTGCAAGCACTTGAGGTTCTTGTTCAGTAATGACTCTTGCAAATTTTCTAGGAAACATTGATGAAATGGGGCGTTCTCGGCATTGGTTATTTCGAATCCAACTCCCCGCTACTATCCACAACGACCAGAGATTGCCATTTCAGGCGCCTACAGCGCATCATCCGTGGATAGTCTTTACCGACAGCACGTCCAGCTGCAAATTAGTGTGAATCATTGCCCGCTGATGGCGTGCGCCATATGTACGTTGCTGTAGCTGAACGTTAGGCAATAAATGCAACAAACAGATATGGCCACTCATGCGAGGCTTTCACTGGCCCATGATTGCATGCCATCAGAGTATTGGTAAATAGTTACCATATAGCGCAGCAAGGCAAAGGCGTATGGTTGACGACACTATTATCGTTTGCTCCTCGCATTTTGGTTCGAGCTTTCAAGGAAGCAAGAGAGCATGCATTGTAACACATTCCACAAAACTTGGCATAGCTTCTAAGCCATGAGGAAGGACTACGCAAGAGCATTCGTACTATGCATTCATTTCACTAACCCAATCCCCAGGGCACAGCCTTGCTGATGATGTAGCGTATACTCCAGCCTTCTGCAACAGCATCATGAACCAATATGGTTCGTTCGCCGCCGCGCCAGTTTCTAAATCGGTGTGTTTATTGTTGACGTTGTCTTTGTGGCTTGAACATCGGTAGGAAGTCAAGGAGTTTCTCCCATTAACAAATCCGAGAACGGAGGGTGACAACACAACGTTCCAAGCTGAGACAGAACCTTATTTCTTGGTTCACTGTCTCTTCTTTCCTCGGGCTACTGATGTTTAGAAACACTCGTCAACCGACAGAGTACGTGCGGTGTAAGTGCGGTGTAAGTGAATCACGCAAAAGGCACTTGGACGATGCACGAATGTTGAACCTTCCGGGGTTTGCAACACTTCCTGGTCATGGAAGACATCGAATGCAGGCATTGCACCGGCCAAACAATATCAGGCTGGGGTCCCCAACTTTTGGCATAGGCTCAGGACCATGCAGGCCAAACCAGGCCGGTCCGGACATCGCATTAACCAACATCACTAGCACCCCACACACAATATGCAAACCTGCATTGCTGCTGGCTGGCTGGATTGGTTCCGTGGAACTACGGGGCCACCCTCTCCGGACTACACCATTTTGAGCATCTCATGATAGTCACAGCCTTGGCTGATAGAAGCCGCCATTATTAGCCAAGCCTTCACGATACCATCATGGGCTATCTTTGATATCCCCTATCTTATATCGTAATTTCCTTTGACTGTTCTAGACGCTGACTCTCCGGCTGGGCATTCGGTAAATTCAAGCGCGCTGAAAATATCTTTTCGTCCTTCCAGAAAGTATCGTGGCCCCGAAGCTTGATTTCTTCCTTCAGGGTAGCATCCAAACCTTGCGGAGATGGGTATTAACTTCTTTTAGTGCAAAGTGCGTTCGAAGCTATCATTGACCCCGGCTCGGCATTGAAGATCGCAGGAAATGAAATGCCTCACTGATGGAACGTCATGAGCGCCGATCCAAGTCCTTTGATTTCACCCATTCACTACGGTTTGCTTTCCGTGATAACCGCCCCCATCTCGGTTGTCGACCATGATGAGTGCAAACTCATACAAAAGTCAAAATACTCTTTGGCACTTGCGCAGGGTCTTTTCCAGCCTCCCCCAGAATGTCCACAGACCAGTCTGTGAGCGTTCGCCCTAACCACGTCTCATCTCTCAAACAAACTGTTGTTTTGACCTTGTTATCCGACCGCGACCAACTCGCAACTAGCAGCCACCCGGCCACTCGAAGACCATAGTGCGATGCGATAGATTCACGCTTGAGAGAAACAGATGCATATGTTTCCTCTCTTTCAACGCTATCATGATGTGCGCCCGTTGAACAATGGCGTATGTTCTGCCTACTTACAACAATTTAAAGTTAAGACCTGGACCGAAATGAGTTTAAAGCATCTGGTCATGGGCTGCGTCAACTCAGTTGTTCAACGGAGAAATACCGCTAATGAAAAAGAACAAGAATAAAAATTAAAATTAATTGCTTAACAACCGGTGCTAACGTTTGCGGGTTGGCGTTGGCGTTGGCGTTGGCCTGTTTGTTGGTCACGCATCACGAGTCCTTCTATCGCATGGAACGGCCATTTTCATGAACCTCTTCATTTCTCCAGAAATTGTCATTGCCTTTTTTCAATTAAAATGTGCTCTGCACCTATGTGTAGGTAGCGAGCTATTGCTGTTTTGCCAAGTACGTACATACTCAAAGTGTATCCTTCAAAGTTCCCAAGCGTAGAAGTCGACGCTAGAATTCGACTCCCTGAACCACACCTGACGCGGAGACAATCCTCCATGCCATAGCACAAATATCCTTTTCCTCAAAGATTTGCTAAAAATGTCTACCAATGTATCACCACCTTATCCTATCCACTTCAAAAGGCCTTGACAATGGGAACTCGAGAGCCAACATGCGCGACATAGGCGCACAAATTCCAACATGCCCCCACTTTAATGCTCAAGCAGACGCAAGCTACCCTGCACGACAACGTTCTCAAGGATAGATCCAGGTGGGATGTCGATAGTGCTGCCTTCTGTGGCAACGATGATAACGGTGCCCTTGAGCGTCACACCACGGCCGAGGTTGACGGCACCAGTGATGGTGAGGTGGTCCAGCTCCAACACCTTGGGGATGGAGGGGATTCGCTTCTGGAAGTCTGAGACCTTCTTGAAATCACCACCAAGCTTAATCAAGGGGGCGTCACCGAAGCGGGCGGCGCTCATTTGAAGCTGGCCGTGCTTCAATGTGTAGAGATCAGACTTGACAAGCATGAGGTCAGAGCAGGTCTTGACGGGCAAGAATCGTCGACGGGGGACATTAACACCGTGGGCGTTGTTGAAGTGACGGATGGCAGCACCGACAGCGGTCTCGAGCTGAACAATGGAAATATCGGACTCTCCCTTCTTGTCACCAGGAATGGTCTTGCCGTTGGGGATGATCTCCATTTCGAGCTCATCATTCTCCACGACACGCTTAATAGCCTTGAGGTTGAGCCAGATGTTGTTGGTGTTGAAGTACTTGAACTTCTTGATGGACTTGAACTCGTTAACATGCTCCTTGGGAACCTGAGCGATTTCGAGCAGGCGAACGGAGCCCTCGTAGTCGATAATGGTACCACCCTTGACATCAGCCTTGGTCTTGTTGGTCAACTCCATGATGTACTCGGCGTTTGTCTCCATCATGTGCTGGAGGATGCGGAGATCGACGACAGCGCCCAGGTTGTCGACGTTGGACAGGAAGACAATCTCGATGCCTCGATCGAGGAGCTTGTCGAGAATGCCAGAGTTGTACAGAGACTCGAAAACATCACCGTGGCCAGGGGGGTACCACTCGTTAATGGGAGAGTCGTTGTCCTTGGGGACGGGGAGGAGAGAGTCCTTGTAGACTCGGGGGTATCGGGACTGGTTAAAGGTGAGGATATCGACATTGTGGCCCTCGTACTTCTTAATAATGGCAGCAGTGTCGTCGTTTGTGTTGAACGAGTTCATGAGGATGAAAGGGACATTGACGTCGTATGTGCGGTTGAGGTACTCGATCTGTCGAACGGAAAGGTCGAGGAAGGACATGCCATCACGGACCTCGATAACGGACTTGGGACCGACGCAACCCATAGAGGTTCCCAGACCACCGTTGAGCTTGAGAACGGCGAGCTTGTTGAGGAACTGGACAGACTCGGTGTTGGCAAGGTCCTCGTAGTCGACGACCTGGCCTTGGGCGGGAGGGGCAATGCGATCCCAGTCTCTACACTATTATCAGCAACTGTCGGGTCGAAATATAATTGTTCGGAGGGGGTGAGCATACACTGCGTTGCCCTTAGCCTTGTCGTTAAGGTATCGTCGGAACAAGGCGAAGAAGTTGTCCATCTCGGTCTCGAACAGCTGCGGGCACCTGGTTAGTTTGTGATGATCCCAGAAAGCACCCATCTGATCTTGAACTTGCCTTCTTCTGCTCGGGGTCCTTGACGGTCTCGGCAAGGTTGGTCAGAGCATTTCGCATCTGAGCGGCGGCGACGTTGGTCGACGTGTTCTCGAAAGCCTGACGCATGATAGATTAGTACGATGGAAAACAACGTTTGTCTCTTCAGAATTCATCGCGGATCTCGAGTCTTTTTGGCTGGTGTATGATTTTGAAAAGATGGAAGCAAGTTCGCATTCTCGCCGGATCGCCCCAAAGAACTCAATGTAGTGAATATGCGCGTATTGCCATTATATTCATTGTTGCTGATACAATGGTGATTTGATGAACTCGAAGCTTATTCATAGCTACAGCTGCTTCTGTATGATGGCAAGGTTTTGACATCACTGTAGAGGCAGTTGCAGGCCATTGTTAAGCTTTGAAAACAGACGCGGGTTCACCGTTGGCAGGTGGTGGTACAAACACCATGACAGGATGCATATTCACGTCCTCATGAGGACCCAAAGAATGCATTGTTCCACAATGCCACCAAAAGAGAGTGAATGATTGTGCTAGACTCACCATGTGACTGCGTGTCTTGCCATGACGACGCTCGTTGCCCTGCTCATCGCCGGTGTTGGGCTTGAGGTGGGTAGGCAGCGCGCTCTTGATAATATTGGCCATTGTGAAGAGATTATGAGGGGGGAATTAGTATGACAAGAACCAATATGGAAGCAATGGAGATGAATGGAGAAGAGAGAGAGATGAAGAGGAAGAGAAGAAAGAGGAGGAGCAAGTAGATATGTTAAGGAATGAGGTACGGGTAGTAGGTAAATAGGAAAGGGGAGGGAGAGCAGATGCGGGGCGGTGATGCCCTGGCTTGCAGCTCTCGTCTGCTGTTGCCCATGCCATGGCCCATGGATTGCATCTTCTTGGTGGGGGTGGCGAGGGAGCTGTTCCCTGTAGGGACAAAATAAGTTGGTCACTTGGTTGGAGAAGGACGGAATACTCTGTCCCTTTTATTTTCTATCATGATTTTGCTGAGAAAGTCGTAACAGTGACGTTGATTCTTTTTTTCAGCTTATTTTTTTTTTTCATCTGTGTAGGTCCTTAATTGACATTGGTATGGCGCCTTTTCTTGAAGGTCAGTACGGTACCGAACATCAGAGATAATAAGTCAAGTTGCGGTGACAACCCCCTTCACTATTTGTTTACCGTAGATACTCGGTGATATTGATCGTCTAGATCCAGCTCGCTCAGTTCCCATGTTTTGTCGAGGCCAAACTATTGGCCGTTGGGGGGAATGGAGGCTGGTAACACGTACCCGTTGTCTGGGTACAATAATAGTTACTAGACGGTGGCTTGAAAGGAGATGATGATAGTGCTTCGTTTCTCCTTTTTTTTTTTTTTGTTATTATTCCATCTCGTACATTGACTTAATCGTAATTGTTCATTTCTCTACCGTCTCTATGTCTCTGATGCGTACGTTGAACGGGAATTAAAACCCCACCGACTCACCACTTTGAACTAATGATCTCTCTCATCTCCATCTCATCTCTCACCTTGTAGCGGGTCCCAACACCAACACCAAGCAGGAACTAGGATCTGGGACCCGTTTGCCGCCACAGTCAGTATATAATTAGCAGTCAACTACCCAGTTAGTCGAGATGATGGGCAAAAGAGTGAATTTGAGATCGGTCCTTTGCCGATATGATACTACAGAAACCCATGTATGATTTTCCTAATAAAGACGGAAACATAAGCAAAACGACTCTGTGCCCCATAACACCCTGAAAAAGAAAAAAGAAAAACCTTTTGACGGGAACTAAAGAGGTGGTATCATGGCAATGGATGGCTAGTTTTGGTCCAAGTACACCACCTTTCTATCATGATATCGCTCATTGAATTGCCACTTCCTTACCCAATACAGCAAACCGCTCGATTTTAAATGCCTCTTTGTCATTCAACAGTCTACTAAAAGAGATTAAAAAAGAAAGAAGAAAAATCTGTTTCCCGCGGGTGAGGTAATATCCCCAACCAGCTTACATTTGTTGTACATAATGACCCAAACCATCCCCTTCAACGGTGAGGGCATGGACAAAAAAGGCCAAAGCTCCCGCAGCTCTCCGCGCGCGAAGTATCTCGTGGCTTTACAATTGGTTGACCAGAGCTAAGAGAATGGAGTCTAGGCCCAGTCGAAATTGGGCAAGAGTGGATGCAATAAGGTTGACCATGCTTAGTCTCTACACTATCTAACTATGCATCGGTCGATCCTGTATTGATAATGCTGGACATAACTCTAGATAGCAGTTATGTATATATTGAATCAGAGAATGAAGATAAGAATATAGCACTACAAGAATCTGTGTAACCCACTGACATACGCCTCTGCCGCTCTATCATCCAGTAAGTGAAAACTCACATGCAAGTCTTGATATCAAGCACCCTTCCTCCACGTGGCCTTGGCAGTGGACAAGAAGCCTGCTTACCCTACATACTCGAGACATTACAGCGTAAACATGAGGTCAACATATTGATGGCTCCTCCACCATGTAAATCATGCTGATGCCCAATATTGTGGTTCCTCGGACCTCCAACTCCTCTCTCACTACTCCATGCGCCGCAGTTTGGTGGAGCGCCGCATTATAATACCCCGCCTGATTACATGATGGCAGTCAAGTGAAATCAGAATTATGTTAGACTATAAATCAGGAACACATTAGACTATAGGTCAAAGTACATACCGAATGATTCGATAAAAATATGAGACTAAAACTCAAGTTGTACAACAAATCATACTCCAATAAACAAATCTCGTATAACTTATAATTAAATGCATATGCCCTGTCTTATCATGTCGTCCCCTCATCATGACTAGTGCAACATGGTGGAGAACAGAACAATGTATCAACCCAACCTCTTAGCCAGGTAAATCAACCACACGCAAGCCTTTCTATGTGATGAAGAGCATTCCAAACGCCAACTCGACAAACAGTATAAACGCATAAGAAGTTACCCAATTGCCTTCCGACGAAGATTCGGTCAGCTTCATTTTCGCCTTTTTCTACCCCTAACTATCGACATACCCAAGCTCGTCTCACACCGTAACTTCACCCCATACCACCCACCAGGAGTCGCCTCACACTTAGCTACAGCAACCATGGGCAGCGCAGAAACACTTCCTTTTTGGAACTACAATATCCCAGAAGATCAGAGAACAGACGAGTGTCCTGAGTTTCTTCTTACTACACACGAAAAGGACAAGGGCATTCTTTCCACGCCAGACGAAGAATACCATATCTCAACATGGGACGAGGTCCGCAAAATCATTGAAGCAAACCGTCTAGAGCTCTTCAAACGTGTCCCCTCAGAGCTTCGCCGCTATAAACAGTTTACCTTCCATCTCAAGAAAACCTACGGCAGTGTTGCCAACTTCCTCCTTGAGCATCGTCTTGGATGGGCGCCTCCTGTGAAGCCGCGAGGAGCACCTTTTGAGTTTGAGGATGACTACAAGATCTTATGGAACGATGCTCCATATGGAATTGATCCTAGAATCGCGCATCTTGTGGTCTGGACAAAGTTCGATCTTGAGGAAGACCCTGCAACGGGCGATTTGACAGACAAGGCGAGGAAGGAGATTGATGATTTCGTGACAAGAACGTTTCGAGCACATGTCCCAGAAGAAAATGTACGTATTATCTGTCGTTGACGTTTCTCTGTTTTTGAAGCTTATGGGTGTAGGTTCTCTGGTTCAGAAACTGGCAAGGTCTGCAGTCAGTGAATGCCATCCAGCACCTACATGTGATGCTCTTCAACCCAGATCCCGACTTTGTTCGGAAAACCACAAAAGGCGATGTCCCCCGAGCAGGAATAGAAGTGAACAAGTGAGTATGACTTGACGCAGCGGGCTTCATCAAACGTGCTTTATATGAGGTGGGTTGCAAAAAGTATGCCTAAATGTTGAATAGGCTATACACTTGATCTATGCTATCTTGCGTTATGTACAACATGTGCAAACTGTTGAAAGAAACCCGTGGCTAGTTCAAAATACCATGCCAGGTAGAACGTGACCCAAACATCCTATTCATACATTGTCGACTTTTCTTCTCCCCTTGCTTCTGACTAGTGTCCAAGATGGCGTCGTTCTATATTACGACTTGCCTGAACCTGCAACCTTGTTCCTTGTGTCGTCAAACCTCACATCCTTGGTTTTTGAAACCTTAATCTTGACATCCTCAGTCTTGACTGTCAACTCAACACAAGCAGCTTCAGCAAGTGGCACAGCTGTGGGCTTCTCAAGGCCAATGCGAATGATCTCTCCATAAAAGTCATCCCGCTTGGTCCTCAGTTCCCTGGCAATGTGGAAAGCAATGCTAGCCGCCAAAGCCTCCAGAGTTTCGAATGAGGATTCCGACATGGCCTGTACGAGTATGTGTCAGTGTTTAGGTGGTATGTCGGCCACCTGGATTTTACTCACATCAACGATAATGCTTTCTATGACGGCGTAGTTATCATGGGCTGTCTGATACTCATCTATCTTGATGTTTGTGATAACAACTTGTTTGGCGTTTCGCTCATTGCTGTTGACACCGATGAGCGTAGGTACTCTGATTCCTTCCAGACCCAGTTCCAAGCTTCGCGCCGTGATGGCCGAATCAACAAAGAGACAAGAGCCGGTGAGCCTGATGGCACTTCCCATCAACGAGGCCTTAGGGAGAACTAGCGAGACTGATAGGCGTCGGATAAGGCTAGTCTGGAGGAAAGCCTTTGTCTGCTTAGCAGAAGGGTCCTTGACACCGGTATACTGGAAACCAGTAAGGTCGACCCAGAGCCTGTTCAGGACGTCACTCAGCGATAAGGCTGACTTTGGCAACTTCTCCAAAGTGCTGAGGATAGACTTGCTCAGAAGACCATAGTGCACCGTGTCGGAGTCGACCTTGTCGTCTGCTGAGGATGAGGGGAAGGCATGTGTCAGTGAGACCTCTGCGGATATAAGCAAAGGCTGCTGCTTTGAACCTCGACCCCAGGCATCCTTCGGTCCTTGGATTATTGTCTGGAGGTTTCGCACGCGGACAACAGCGACTGGATCGCCCTCGGCGTTGGATAGTCGCCGCGAGGAGACGAGAGGAGTTTCTTTGCCCATGGCTGATGATATGATGTGACTCAATTGGTTCTGAGCGAATTGACAACAAGTGGCTTGCAGTCAGTGACTACGCGACACGACGCGATGTAAGAAGCCTGTAGTTAGAGAAGCGCAGTAGGTTTATGTTGATTTGGGGAATGTTTCTATTGGTGGTTGTTTGTTTAGTTGTTGACTCTGGAGTACAGAGTTATGTCATTTGTGTGACTTCTGTGTGAAGCTAGAATGGCAAACAGCAGCGGGGCAAGCCTCGTCGTCCAACTATCTCTACAGCCCAACAACAGAGTAACATCACCAGCGCCCGTCATACAATATCGTTATTTAATATACACGGATTGATATTTACATCATGGAAAATTCATTTGACGATATTACTCAAGTTGTAGTGTTTTGAAGTACTGTTAAATGGATGTTTGGAACAAACACTAGGTTAAAACAAGATTATCACCCTTTCACTACGATTTACAGTTAGACACGTCTAACAAAGAGCAGTACAAGATGAAGCTACACACCAATGCTATTCACTTGGTATCATGTTACCAACATCTTCTTTCTTCTTTCCCAGGTACTTGTTGTCGCTCGCCCGATTGATGTGAACAAATACAGATCACGTGATGCTCGAACAGCTAACTTACCCTACACATATCTACTGGTCTTGATACAATGTTACTCACAAACCCAACTACTTGACACAGATATCATCAGTGTCTCTTGAACCAATATCAACTATTTATAGTGAATCGTCGCCTAAGATCATTTTGATAACTTTATAAAAAAACAATGGCGATCGTGAAATACATTTGACGATCCACCCAGAGTACGCAAACAACCAGTGTGAAGTTCACCCATGAAGCATTATGATAAACCTGCTGATGTACGCAGAGTTTGGAACTAAATACAAACCTCAAACGGTCTGTCACCGGTATACTACCATCTAAACTTCAGAAAGCCACCCGTGATGGCATCCTTCCTGCGGTTCGCACAATCCTCATCCTCTCACCCACCCTACCACCGCAGCGGTTCTCAGGATCAGCATTCCGTCGTTCGGACCTTTGGTCTAGGACCAGGGTTTCAAACATGTATTGGGGTTCCTCTCATGCACTTGAACCTGCATATGTATTTGGCCCGAGCCAGCCCTGTCTCGCCTCTCAATCTGTAGCCTTGTGCTGCTTGCAAGGGTTCGAGTCCCGTTCGGACCAAGTGGTCGTATGAGGAAGCTCAGGCACGTAAAATCACGCAGCGCCGCGTGTTGAAGTCGCATTTCCGATGGGGAAAAGAACAAGAGAGGCATTCGCTTCCAGAACATCGGGTTAACACTTGTAGCCGTTCGGAAGACCAATCTGTATAAGGCAACTGCAAATGCCTGACAGCATTACGGATAAGACATGTGTATAATATAGCCTTGAGGTGATCCTCAGGGTCCGTGATCTTAACCCACGGCCGCATCGTCCATGAGTCCACTGTTAAGCTTGCTTATCTATCTCGCTTAACAGCAGAACCAGAGTCGCCTAAACTACGCGGTTGAAACACAGACGACTATGACCACGATGACGAGGTCCTGATGGTGGAGTAACGAAATAGGAAGAGATGAAACGTGACAACGTAGTCGGGCAATGTCTCCAGGCCGGTCCTTGCTTTTTCGAAAACGCGGTAAACCAGCACCATCATCAACTTCTAGAGTTTAGCAAAAGTAAAACTCCATTTCAATCAACAGTTGTCAGCGCTAAGTCTCTAGAATGAGTGACTAAAAGGCCGTGTTAGCACCTTGTAACCCCCCAGGTTGCATTGGACTGATGCTACCACAACAATCAATAATGAAGATCATATCGCTGCGGCTCTCTTGCCTGGCCTTTCGGCAGAATCCGCATATAATGTTACATAACGATTTCCAGCACAAATGGAATCCTCTTCCACAACGGTAAGGAGCAGTAGCATCAACTAACCAACTTCTCCGTAGGATTCGTGTCAATAGTCCCCGAACGTACAGACAACCCTAGCCCACAACGGCGAACTTGCCCAGATTTGTATATAGCAATCTGGTAGAACCGTAACGAAACCAGACAAAGTAAAACGCCTTCCAAGTCTCTAGCTGACCGGGCCGCCGCGCAAAAAGCACAGAAACCCAACACTGACACACCCAAGTTTAATCATCCTTCGGTTTTACGTGCCAGATGGAGTTAGCTTCCTTCCCGAAAAGGGCTCATCCAACTGTACAGTTGGATATGAGAGTCAATTCAGGCTCAGATCGTTAAAATGGCTTGGCTAAGACAGAAGCTATGCTGTGGGTTTGAGGACCGTGTCATGGGCAGCTTCGCTGTTAATAGAACTAATCAAGGTCAGTGCAACTTGCTTGGTAGGCTGGTCAGTTTCAGTTTCGTGCACAACCCGCGCGTTTCATGTTTTAGTCCGGAATATTCCATTCCGCGTTCCATAGTAACCTCAATTGCATTTTGCTTTGTATCCAACTGACTGTAAACAACAAATTTATTTTCCTTACCGCTAGACGCCCAAAAGGTTCTAGACTATTTATCCGATCCGGAGAGTGTGAAAAAGGATAATGACCACGCGAACATCCTGGACTGTCTGGCTGACCGGTATGGATCATCATCTCTCGAGCCAACATGGTCGAAATTCCAATCCGAGTACTGCAGTACTTCTTGCTGTGCCACTCCGGCTAAAATATACGGCACTACCCACCTCTCGACTTCCTTGAGAGATGGGGTTGCAGAAGCAACAAGATGCAACAGTTCCGAATCAGAAACGACCTTGCGAATTGCATACGTCGGATGTAGACCGGAGACAGTACGTAGTAGCCAAGAAAACTTCCTTCTGCAAAAACCTCGCTTCCGACGGTGTACGTTATATCTTACCTGTCAGCTGGGACAATTGTTCCGTTGACCTTTATCCGATATTATGTATAATACGTATATCGATGGACCGGGGACGGCTTCCTGCAAGACAATTCAATGGCCAAACCCCTGAATGCTTCCCGAATTAGGACAATGTCCACTATTTATGGAGACGGGAAGAATATCTGCAAGGGCCGGAGCACACACGCAGCTGCAAGTATGTGGCACATCAAACCCAGGTTCTTTGACTAATTGACTACTAAGGCATGCCATCATGCCACAATTGAGGCAGTAAGAGATTCCCGGTCCTTAACACTACCAATAAACAATTATTGTAGTATCCGTTATCTTTGACAGATGTCAAGGGAGGAATCCGAAACCTTCTTTACAGCGGAGAATATTCTGTTGACTTTTGAAAGGGTTGCCAGGTCGCGAGCAACGTAGAAGCATGGCACACCAGATCAACAAGTACGTCTTGTTGCCGTTATCCGTGGAAGTGTGAGAACCGAGAGAAAACGCGCTATATCTGGGATAGGCATCTGAGCCGTACCCAACCAATGGCCCAAGGGCCTCTCCACCATCACCGAAGTGCATTTACATGCAAACAGTTCCTTTGGCAGCCTAGCATAGCCCGTGTTTACTGTTCCTCAAAGCCCACTAGCCAGGAACTCGGATGTGAGGATGCTGAGCCGCCTGGGGAAGGATCGCGGGGAAGACAGGAGTGAATAAAAGGCAACTCGGCTTGAAAGGATGACTGTACGTGTTACAAGGAACAGTGTGCTGACAGTACCATAGTATTCGCAGCCGGCAGACCTGTTGCGAAGTGCCCCAGTCAGACCCTGGTATCTCTCAGTAAATAAGAGTCTGGTCATATGCCTCATACACGAAGCTTTCTGCGGGCGATGCAGTAACAGTTGAGTTTGATAACTGGTGGTTGCATTGGCACTCAACGTTTTTGTTGAAGATATCGTACGAAAGAACCTAAAGTCAGTCGTAAGCGGAAATGCAAAGCACCACACCATCAGCTTTGCAAACTCTGCAAACCAGGTACAACGTAAGTGGCTAACAAAATAGTGTGAAGTGAGCTGCCTTGAGCATGCATCATAGTGTACAGTACCAGCATCGAATGCACCTGTAAGGCACGGCATCACTTACTTGCTGACTGCTTCGTGAATGAGGCAAGTTGCCATATTAAGGTGACAGATTATTCAGATTACGGTGGTGATAGTGAGGATGATGACGCTTACCGTATACGAATATGCCATTGACGGATTGGGAAGTTATTTGTGAAGTTATAGCACAGGAACATAGTCTGATTTGGTGATGGGTGGATGGATGTAGGTGGAAGATGTAAGCTGATGCTACTCGATTGCGTGCATCTTTAGATCTGCCATTGGCACCCTTTCGACAACCCTGAAGAAAAATTTCGTTGGCGAAAGTTGGCGAGCTTCAGGTGGTGGGAAGCGTAGCATGCGTAGGTACTATGATGGTCAGTATTGTTAGGTCCATGATAGTGGCCGATGATATATATGTATAAGATAGGTGTTAATGATGCGCGCTTTCTCATGCTTAGTGATGTAAAAAATGAGATGTATATATATGGGAAAGTATCTTTCGACAGCGATTGGACCCGACAAAGTTGATGATAGTGGATATATCGCAGAGTGTAAAAACCAACACACAAATCAGAAGTCAAGACATGTTGTTGGAAGGAGTAACAAGGTGATGATATTGCTAAGTGGCGAAAAAAGAGCCAACCAACAAAAACCCGAAGCCAGGAACCGAGCAGTACCTAACACTAACAGAATTGACAGGGACCAGGACAAGGGAACCGCCCATGGATGTGACTGACCAGGGATCGACAAGGGTTCAAGAAGGGCCGAGAAGCCAGTAAAGGCAAAGAGACAGCAGCTGTCACGTCCCCCAAGACAGTGTTGGAAGCGAATTGTGAAGGAGAGACCGTTAGTGGTTAAGGCTGGCGCGCAGGCTTGTGATCTGTTGATGGTGGCTTTTCGTATGCGGCAAATGGCGAGCGTTGAAAAAGACGTTGAGATGTTAAATTGGAGCGTGTACATACGCGATTGATCAGAACGTCACTTGCCAAGAGCTGACTTGCTTTTTTCGCTAATAATTGTTTGGAGTAGAACCGTAGGG